CAACAACAACAAAAGAACTTCTGTAGTTGTCGACGTGAGGGCCAGGCCGATGGACAGGCTCTAGTCTATCAAGCAGTGTCCCCTTTGCTGTTTCTGACTTGGGACGGGGTTGCAGCAGGGAGAGGAGGAGGAGGGGTTTCAGGCGGTGAGGAAGAATCTGGTTTGACCAAAGGTGTCCACTGGTCCAGAGCTTCCGACAAGACAGATTTTAATGACATTTCCCTGAACTAACAGCTGTATCGTTCTCTCTATCGAATGCTACTGACAGTGTGTGACCAAGGAGGAAAACTTAAAAGTCACTTCGTAACTGTCTTACATAAAACAGAAGTTCCACCTCTAATGCGATGTAAAACTGAGTGTGGAATTAACACCTCCCAGTAGGAGCTACGTGGCCCAAGTCAACACGTGCTCTGACAGAGGCACCTGCTGGCAGCAGCACGCGGAGGTGAAGCTTCTGCCCATTTCCCGAAGGGGGAGTCCTGTGCCACAGTGTCCTTGTGATACACTTTGCCTAAGAGACTTCCCCTCTTTGTCCCATCAACACATTCAGTAGAGCAACCGATTCTACAGGACAGAAGACTAGAAGCTGGGTACAGATTCTAGGCAGACTTGACTAGACCGTGATGACATTTATATTACCAATGTTGTTGTGTGCTATCAAGTCGATCCTGACTCAAAGCGACCCTACAGGACAGAGAACTGCCCCAGAGGGTTTCCTAGGCTGTAATCATTACAGAAGCAGACTGCTATGTCTTCTCTCACAGAGCCACTGGTGGGTTTAAACCGCCAATCTTTCAGTTAGAAGCTGAGTGCTCAGTAACTGTGTCACCAGGGTTCCCTTGCCCATTAACCCTTCCTAATAGCTGCAATTGAAGTAAGGGTAAGGAAGGCACTCCACCACTCCCAGCGCACATACCGCTGCCTCTTGTCCTCTTTCTCCCTCATCTGCACCGTCTCTCGCTCTCTTTTCCATCCCCTCAAGTCTATGCTTTCAGCTTGTCAGTAACATTCTGGGCACTGCTGAATCCCAGTGGGGCTCCTGGGGCCAAAGGTATTGCTCCTAATGTTACATAAATTAGTCTTCCCAATCATGTGATATACATGTGAAATCTGGACAGTGAAGAAGGAAGACAGAATAACTGCTGCATTCCAGCTGTGGTGGTGGCAAAGAATACTGGGCACACACACCATGGGCTGCCAGAGGAATGAACGAATCTATCTTAGAAGAAACACAGCCAGAAGGCTTCTTAGAAGTGAGGATGGTGAGACTTTAACTGATTCACTTTGGACAAGTCATCAGAAAAGGCCAACAAGCTTACTAAAGAAGAGGGTCAGTGAACATGAGGGAACCCCGTGATGAGATGGACGGACACACGGCTGCAATGACACACTAACAGTCACGAGGCCGGAGCGGGAGCAGGCACCGTTCTGTCCTGTTATACACGAGGTGACCATGTGTCAGAGCTGACCTGACAGAAACTCACAACCGTAACTGAAGTGCTGACTTACCACTTGTTTCTCAGAGGCCATTGCTGCAGACGCGGCAGCGGCCGCGGCAGCTACAGTCTGCCTCCCCAGTCCTGCAGGGTTCGTGCAATCAGGGGGTGCGGCTTTAACACTTGGCAAATAGACTGGAGGAGGGACAGCTTTCGGAGGTGTTCTGGAGTGAAACAGTGAATGGTTGCAGGGATAAGAGAAAGACCGTGAAGGATGCTGACTGGGAGGTCTTTGTTTCCAACCCACTTTGAGTTGGTTATGGATTGGGGTAGCTGGGGGGTGGTACGGAGGTGGAGGAGGGGGCAAGGGTGGATGGAAGGCCACGAAAGAGTCCAGATCTGTAAACATGGTTTCTGCAGCAGGAGTACTGTTAACCCGACACCGCCCGGGCTGCTTCATTGTCAAGAGTGGACTTTCATCCCCAAAACGCTCATCAGGAAAGAACTTGTGAGGGTTCTAAGAAAGATAACAAACAAAAAAAAAAAGAATATGTATTAGATTTCTTAGCTGGAAATTTACAGGCGGAAAGAGTGACATAACCTACCTAAGACAACAAAGCAGGAGTATAGGACAGGACAATTTTCCTCGGCCAGACGCCCCAGAAAAAATTACCTCAACAACCAGCAAGCAGGTCAGCAATCTCTTACAAGAGTATGTGATAAAACAAAAGCAAATCAAGCTGAATGCAAATACGTCTTTCCTAAGAAAATACTATTAACATTGATCACCAAAGGAAGAAAAGGTATACAATTAAGGAACCCTCCCAATACTGTGACAAACTTCTGTATACCTCAGTCTGCAATAAGACTACGAAAGACTATTCTCTGTATATTATACATGAAAGCTTGGTTAATATTTTGATAGATATATGAAAAAACTTAAATCAAACTTTTATATAAATTAAGATGTAATTCAGAGTGTCAAAGAGAATACAAATTAACAGAAGACCAGACTATATACGTCATAGATAAAGACCACAGCAAAAACAGAAAAGCATGATTTAAAAACACAGCCTGCTGTCTTCCCCAAGAACATTCCACCATGTTTGCCCTTCTGAAGACGCAGGCTGAAGGGGCCCGGAGGTGGTGGTAAGAAACACCTGAATCACTGGGCTGGAGGAGATCACATTTTATCTTTGGCTTTGTTTATGGCTATGTGAGCAGACCTCACAGATTCTGTTAACTGCCACCCAAGGGCTACAGCTTTCCTATGGCATAACTGCTAGAAATGAGCTGGCTCTTCAGCTACAATGGAAAAACAGGAAAACAAAACCCACCTTCCTTGACTGTCATGCAAAAAACTTCTGGTAGAAGGGGGGGTAGTCTCTGGGAGATCTAGAAGCCCGGTGGGAGGGCAGACCGGCAACCCAGCAACCAAAGCGAGTGAGAGAGCAGGGAAGGGCTGGCCTTCTCCACTGGCTCTACCAGGTGCAGCTACCATTTAGATGCTGGACAAGTCATCAGAAAAGGCCATCAAGCTTAGTAAAGAAGAGGGTCAGTGAACATGAGGGAACCCCGTGATGAGATGGACGGACGCATGGCTGCCAGAGACACAGTTGTTTTACATACAGCACCTCTTAACTTCACAACAGTCAACTCCACAGGTAAGGAAACTGAGGCCCTGGTGGTTAAGTCACTTGCTCCAACTAGTCAGGCTGCTCAGAACGAATGACTGACTATTCCCTGAATAATGACCAAGGCTCCTATCTCAAGAGCATTTGAGTGCTGTCTCCTACCTGCAAGAGCTCTGCGGCGGCATCTGCCAAACCGAACTCTCTCAGCACGCGGATCTGGATTTCATAGCTGACAGTGGCACCTTCCCCACAATTGAGCGCATAGGCTCTCTGCACCTGCTCAGTGTGTCGGAGTTCCTGCAGACGCCTGACCATGTCTTTCATGATGAGCAGACGAGGAACTGCAAAAAGAAAGGCCGTGTGTAGGCAAAGTATGCATGTTACAACACCAAGGACCCCTTCATGAGCACACAAGAGTTTTAAAATGCATGTTTTATATCAGAATCTCTTATCAATTTTTGGGTAGTATTTGAATTTCCTGACAACATGTTCCTTTACATACATCTGTTTTCTCACATTTAATTCTGTCATTGTTGAGAACATACACGCGCACACACACCGACTGCGGGGAAGTGCGTGCTTCAGCGACGTGGCATGCACCTCGGGCTGTGCAGCCCTTCTCACTCTCCTCTTCCGAGCCGTTCCTCCCTCTAACAGCAACTCGCTGCCCCCTAAGGTGCCTGTCTAGTCCTTCCAGTTGCTGTTGTTAATTTGATCCCATAGAGATCGTTCTTAAAAGAGCACAGTGCTCAAGGGAGACCTTTTTTTTAACCAGTGAAGCTAAACTACTGTTGGGTTTTAAGATGCCTTCGGGGGATATTCTGGGTTTAGGGCTTTAGATGATCTCAGGGCAGTAATCTCAGACACTGAATTATTTTTCAGAGTTGATCACACCAAACACTTTCTGACTTGTGTTGTTTTAGTTCAGAGCCCAAGTAAAATTTTGTTTGCACATATTTCTCTTTTGAATCTCAGGATATTTGATAAGCCTTTAAAACACATTCATACTTTTGTTGAAATAAATTTTGAGTTCTACGTGTCAGGGACCCGACAGAGTGAAGATGTGATTCCCGGCCTCAAGTTCTGGCCTCCGTGAAGTAAACAAAGTAAACAAGGACAGTACTGGGAGAGGGAGACGCACGTGGTGCTCAGGGGATGAGGAGGAAGGGCACCCAAGCCAGACCAGCACATGTGGGAAATGTGGCTTCCTAGACCAGCTGAAACCTGAGCGACTCTGGAAGAATGCGAGGCAGACAGCGAGGCAGAGAAAGCAGGCGAAAGGCTTTCAAGTGAGAGGCAGCCTGGGACAAGTAGTCAGCGTGACTAGAGCTTGGGGTTTGTGATAGCTAAGGCTGTATGTCAGTTTGGCTGGGCCATAGTTTTGGCAGCTGGCTGTGGGGATTGGCCATAACGAGACTGTAATCACTTCCATGGTGGAATCAGTAGAAAGGGAGCTGCCTTCAGGGTGTGGCTGCTTCTGATGTAAGGCGAAGCTTTGGGAAAAGTCTCTAGCCTTTGGCATATCTGGATCTTGCATTTGGCTGAATCTTCATCCCAATGGCCTGCCGCTGAGATGACAATCTTGTGAATGTTCCTGGACTTGAACCAGTGGTCTGCTGTGCTTGCCTGCTAACCCTGCGACTGTGCCGTTTTACCTGTTGCTCTTGGGTTGGTCAGCCTCAGCAGCCAGCAGCTGAGTGAGTCAGAAAACCCTCCAGCTCTAGTGGCTTCACCCAGCTCCTAGAGCCGGCACTCTGAACTCAGACTTCTAGTCTCCTAAACTGTAAGAGAATAAATCCCTGCTTGTTAAAGCCACCCCCTTGTCATGTGAGTTGAACATTTACCTGAAGTAGATACACTCCTTGGAGAGAACAATCATGTGAGAAAGAAGGCTGCTTATGTGCAGGGAGACAGCTCAGGGGGCAGGAGTGCATGGAGGGATGGACACAGGGAAGAGGTAACTATCAGGAGGAAGTAGGAGGTGAGCTGTTGCATTGGGGTAAACTGTGGTCAATGTCATGAGACAAAGTGTATGTGAACTGCTATATGGAAAGTCAATTTGCTCTACAAA